TTATGTCCCTTCACTGAGCCTCAGTTTACTATACCATAGAGTTGCTCACAGGAGGCCAATGCTAAGGGTGGCACCCAGCCCAGAGCTGCTAATTCATACATAACCACTCTCTTTCCCTTACTTGAATAGGAGTTCTCTAATTTACAAAACACTTTCTTCTACGTGTATCTAACCCACACATCCACCAGGGTCCTTCTTGCCTTTTGCATGTGAACTGAGATTTCCTTGAACCTGTTCATTTTCTGAGCTCAGGCAACCCCCAAAATCATCTCCCAAGGCTTTAGAAACACACATGGACATGCTTTCTGACTCCTCTCTGGTCCCTGTGTTCCATGTGGTATCTCATTGGGCCTGAGGTGAGCATATCTTAGCCCTTTCCAGAATCCACAGGAGGTCCAATCACAGCAAACATCTCTGTGGTACTTCAAGGACCTTGTTGAAAATCTAAGAGTCACACAAGGAACGGTCCCCATTGGGCTCTACCCAACATTCTGCCATTTTTTCACCCCCCCACCCACCTTAATGCAAGCCCCCTATGAATCTGTTTTTCTCTCCCTCCGGAGGCTCAGCATAACTGATTCCATGGCCCTAGGAATACAGCCTCTACTCCAAACAAGTTTCTTAAGGTATTTTTCCAGGAAAAGCAATTCTCTCTAAAAGGAATACCTACTGTTCGGTAAAGGCAATTTTCTTTCTCTTTACAGTTCATTTTATGCTCATTAACAGCCCTCTGAGATTAGTGCAATAATTTCCACTTTATTGATGGGGAGATGGAGGCTCAGAGATGAAGTGCATTTGCCCAAGATCACACAGCTAGTGAGTCCCAGAGTCTGGCTTCAAGCCATGCTCTGGCTGGTGCCATCTGTGGTCTATCGTTATACCCTGTGGCCTATTGTGACAGTCAATCACACATGCTTTGGAGAGAGCAAGTGGCTCTTCCTGCCGTGGGATGGAGTCTCTTTGCTATCTGACAGGCTCACAGCTTCCCTTGTCCTCTTTGAAAAGGTGCCCCTGCCAGCTTCTTCCTTTAAGAGGAGCAGAAAGGGGTTTATGTGCACACCTCCACAGGTGAGCTAGAAAGAGAATGGAGGGTGGGGCAGGAAGACAAGCCAGCAGCCAGCTCAGCACTAAATGTGTCTAAGTCCCAGGCCCTGGAGGCTCCAGCCTTTTTCTGCTGTGCACTTTTTGGCTTTGTCACAGCACTCTCCCCAGGTATTCCCCGGTTTCTGATGACTGTGATATGTCTCATGTTTATGTTCTTTCCCTGATCTCAGTCACTGGTGGTGTCCGGTGTAGAGAAAGCACACACACAGGTTTTGGACTCTCACAGACTTCAAATCTTGGCTGTGCCATTCACCATGTGGCTTTAGGCCAATCTTTCTATCCCACAGAGCTTTGGTTGCCTCTAGGACAGAGCTACTGCTGCCTCCCTCCCAGATGGTTGTGAGATTTACAAAATACAGCATTGCGTCCATTTACCTGGTAATCCTGAGGCCCTTCCTACTTTGCACACTAGGCATAGCATCAGACAGACACACGTTCAAAACCCCTCTTTGCCGCTTGCCAGCCCTGCTACTTGGTACTTGTTCCTAGACCTCTCTAGGCCTCAGTTTATTTGTCTGTAAAGGGGGGTTGGCAGTCCCTCTTTCCCAGGGTTGTAAGATGATTCAGGAGATAGAACCCAGCACTGTGGCTGCTGCTCCACCAATGATGTTCTGTTTGTGTTTTATGGTCATACTGGAGATCTTAAAAATTACATTTAGCATGGGATATGGTACATTTTAAGACATTTGACAAAATGTGGTCTTAGCCTTTTTTTTTTTGACCAGTAAGGGGATTGCAACCCCTGGCATGGTACGGTCTGCACCACGCTCAGCCAGTGAGCGCACCGGCCATCCCTATATAGGATCTGAATCCGCGGCCTCAGTGCTACCAGTGCCGCACTCTCCCGAGTGAGCCATGGGGCCGGCCCTTAGCCTTGGGCTTCTACGGATCTTATATGTTCTGTTCTCACTCCCTAATGAGAGGAGACAGGAGAACCATGAGGGTGGTTATCTTCCTGGGGCTTGGCATTAGTCTTGCAGACGCACCCAGAGGAGGAGTGTTGAGGACGTCCTGCACAGGGTGGGTGGCCTCCCTGCCAGGAGAGCTCTGGCATCTGGACAATTGGAAAGGCTCCAGCTGGGCAAGGCAGATGGGGATGCTCAGGACTTCCCAGGCGGCAGCTCCTCGCTCTCCTTGTGCTTGTACATCTGTACTCATTGCAGCCTGTGCCACTGTGAGAAGTTGGCCACGCAGCACAGCCATGCCGGCTCATGACCCCAGCTATGGGGACCACCCTTTTCACCTGCTATTCCACATGGGTTCAGAACAATAGGGCCTCAGCAGCAGCTTGTTCAATGTCACATTCTCAAAGTCACCCATGTGGTTTTGGCACATTGGCTCTCCTTTCCACAAAGGACCTGTGAGCATGAATAATTGGGTTGTAAGAGTGGCTGTGAATTCTTCAGAGAAATCAGGGGCCAGAGCTGCCCACTCTCCCCAGCAACCTCCCACCAGCAGCTGTGTGAGCAGCCCTGGGTGAGCTGGTCAGGCTCCCTGACATTTTGGTGAAGCGTGTCCTTTGGTAAGTCTCTGACACAAGTTATGGGACATTTTCCCCACAGGGACAGATCAGGTAACTCAGCTGGCACCAGGAGACACCCCCCCTTCTTACTGCTGCACTGATACAAAGGCAGTCTTCCTCCTAAATACTCTAAGGGGACCAGAGAGATGATGAAACCCTAGCCCATCTTTTTTCATAAAGGTGCTACCCAGCACTGCCACTTATATGTAGAGGATACTAACATTTATAAAGCAAATGTATTTCACAGTGCCTAGCTTCCAAGGCCCTGTAGTTTCAGGTGTAGACTAACTTTTTAGAATTACACATAGAAATGTTAAGCTTGTGAAAGACAGAAAACTTTCCCTAGGCTAAAGTCTCTGTTGTAGATAAAGAATTGTAACATAGCAAAATTGCTGGCTCCAAGGGCAGATGTCCTTGGTGCAGCTAAACCTAATGCTTGTTGCCATGACAATTATCTTACTGTTCTTTTGGTAACTACCTATGTTCCTTTTCTGTAACTTTCTGGCCTGGAGAATAAATACGGAGGGAAGACCCCAGTTCAGTGTTAATTTTCTGAAGAATGCCTCTCTCTTGAGGGTTCATGGGAAATTAACCCCTTCGGGGCTTCTCACTGATGAAAAGAAATGGGCTTTGAGTAATCCTTTGCATCTCCGTCACCCTGGGGGAGAGGTGACACTTTTAAGATGTTCAGGGTAGATACAACATGTGATCCGCAATTATTATTTTTATTACTATTCCTATTACTGCTAAACAAACAACAACCCCCAGCTACCATATTTGGCGTGCTTAAGTCCCAGGTGCAATTATAACTGCTTTCTAACATCTAATTTAACTCCACCTTCCCCTGCAATGAAGTTAGCTACTATTACTATCACCATTTTACAAATAAAATAAAAAAGTGAACCTAAAGAGGTTATGTAATTTGGTAAAGTCCTGTAGATAGTTTGGGGGGAAATGCTGACTTAATCTCTAGCCTGTGCTCAACTTCTCCCAGCTAAGAGAATCTGACAGAAGAACCTGTTAGGGGTTCCTGTCACACAAGAAGTTATGTTTCCACCATAATAAATGCCTAAACCTTAATGTAGGATGGGTATTACATGTGGGGAATGTTTGAAAACATCTTATTTGTGTTGTACAAAAACACCTACCTAATTTGTGTGAAATATAAGGAGAGTGTTAATAATAAAATAAGACATATCCAATGTTGTATACGGGGGTCTGGGACTAAGATCATTTGGGAGGGATGGAATGGGAGACAGCGTCAGATGAGAAAGCACAGTTAGATCTGCTTTTAGAATGATGTTCCTGGAGGAGCCAGCTTGGACTAAAGTGGAGAGGAGAGAAAGAGGCCATTGTAGGAGGCTGGGACGTGATGACTTGTGAAAGGAGGAGAAATTCCAAGACAGAGTCAACAGGACATGGTGACTAGGTGGATAGACTGGGTGCTGCGTGTCAAGGATATGACTCAATTCCCAGTTTGTGCATCTGGATGCTGTTAACTGAACAGGGGAGGCTGATCCCTAAGGGAGAGGCTATGGCTGAATTAAACATTAGGAGGCAGGTCAGAACCCCAGCAACCACCTAAATAAGTACATCCCGGAAGTGTTGTGTGTCTTGTTCGTGGTACCCAAGATGATTTTCTGTGACACCCCTGATGAACATTTAAGAATTTAACAATTTTGGGCCAGTCCTGTGGCTCACTCGGGAGAGTGCAGAGCTGGCAGCGCCACGGCTGCAGGTTCGGATCCTGTATGGGGATGGCCGGTGTGCTCACTGGCTGAGCGTGGTGCAGACAACGCCGAGCCAAGGGTTGCGATCCCCTTACCCATCACAAAAAAAAAAAAAAAAAAAAAAAAAAAAAATTTAAAAATTTTTCCTTTTTTT